CTCTCTCTCTCTCTCTCTCTCTCTCTCTCTCTCTCTCTCTCTCTCTCTCTCTCTCTCTCTCTCTCTCTCTCTCTCTCTCTCTCTCTCTCCCCCCTTTCTCTGTGTATGTGTATGTGTAGGATGTGTGTGCGCACATGCGCAAAGTAAGAAGAGAAAGAGAGACGAAAACGTCAAAACACATCCGCTCTTTCAATACCTATTTGAAATTTCACAACATCTTCAACAGGTCCTCGCCGACCAGGCAGAAATGAATACAAATAAACAACAGATTGGTTCTCTCCAGCCCTTACAAACGTTCTAACCTAGGCATACAATCAAGCACACAACTAGATTGTTCCGGTTCTCAATCCCGCTCCTAGCCTGCTACTGAATCAGTTTTATACGGTTGCTTGCCCAGCATTCCCTAGCTGCCGCACACGTTCAAGTTAAACCTATACCCGTCTTCGACATTTGTCTGCAACAAACCTCTAGCATCTCAACACGTTCACCAACATACCCACGTGATTGCAATTTCATGAAAAATACAAGTACCACCTCGGCAGCGCCATCAACTGCAGCCAAACCGATACCCACACTGCAGGAATCACGTTTTATGAACAGCGCCGCACCCACCACCTATGCTTGAGTACTCTGCACCTCTAAGTAATCGTTCAATTTTACACTCCTCTGAACACCTCTCTCTCTCTCTCTCTCTCTCTCTCTCTCTCTCTCTCTCTCTCTCTCTCTCTCTCTCTCTCTCTCTCTCTCTCTCTGTGTGTGTGTGTGTGTGTGTGTGCCCGCGCCCCCCCCTACACGCTTGTCCTCCCTCGTGTGCCTTGAACGCGCTGAGGCCGCGTGGCCAACTTAGGATATGTAATATTTGACAGCCTTTACTAGCTTGTGGGCACGATCCAAATTTCATTAATAAATAGATCCTAAAGAATCAGAGCTGAAGGGTGAGGTGAAATGTGCACTGATGGCACGAACCCTCAGCTCGTCATGGAGGCAATTCTCTGCCTCTGGACTCTTTGAACCGACCAAAGGAGGAGGAGGAGGAGGAGCCGAAGTGAAGGAACTTAGTTCCCCCATCCTGGACATCTCCAGGGGAAAAGGACTCACCAAATCTACATCGATGACAGCACTCGTCAGTTGCTACTGAGTTTGCGAAGCCGTCGTCTCTTGTGACTTGGCCGAGGGCAGAGCCGACAACCCTCGCACGGCAGCCGTCGTTGTGATACCTACACTTGCTCCTGCTGACCTAAAAGATGAAGAACTCATGCTTCGTGGCGATTTGCGCGTGCCTTCCGCTCCCGCCCCTCCTCCTCCACTGTCCAGTATCCGAGCGGGGCTCAGTGTACCCGTAGGACCTCCCGAGTGTCCACCTGCGGTCGGTGTGCGAGGTGCCAGTGGCAGCGGAGCCACAGGAGGACGAACCGCCGCAGCAGCAGCGGCAGCGGGAGCCGTGGAGCGCCCATCTACTTCTATTCCTCCCACATCGGCAGAGGAAGACGCCAGTGGGATCGGCCTCATGGAACTCACTGCAGTCGCCAGCCCCTCGCCCCTGCCGTTCACCGCTTCCACCACCTTGGCCACGGCCGCCAGCGGCTTGTCCATAAGAGCTTCCTTCACCTCCTTGAGAAACGAGCCATGAGCGATAACCTTCTTGTCGTGCACGAACACGTGTGGCGCCAAGGCAATCTGACTCAGCTTAATTTCACCCCCCACTTGCTCCTCAATATCGCTCAGCATACTGGCCCTCACAAACTTTCTATAGACCTTGCTGCTGAGAAAGGGCTGAATCACCTTGAAAATAATCGAGAACCACAGAGTTGGGTGAATGAAAACCACCCGCTGCACATTCTTCTTGTACGGCCGTGGCAAATGTCGATACACTTTCAAGCACCACCACGCGGGAACCTTGGTCGGCGCCGCCTTGTGCAGGTTTTTCGGCGTCATCACAAACACCAGAACGTATGGCTCCTGCACAATGGGATCCATCCTCTCCCTGATCATCGCCACGGCAGCAAATCGCAGCCTTGGCGGCGGGATGAAGCTCGCATCGACGACCACTATCGGTCGTCCCAGCGAGTCTTTCCGATCAATGTTAACCAAGCCAGTTAACGTGATGGTAACCTCCGTGTTAACCCGGTCGTAATCATGAGGCCTGTAAACCTGCATTCGACGAGACCGTTCCTCCTTCTCTCTGGCTGCATCCGCGCTCCCGTAGCCTTTCAGCCTGTTCGTTTTCTCCAGCCGACCGAAGGTCAGGCTCTGGCTCTTCAACAACGACCCACCGCCACCGCCCCCCTTGCTGCCGTAACTCATCGGCGACGACGGACTGGAGGCCACCAATCCGTTCTCTCTCTTCAAGTCTGCAATCGCGGACACAGATTTGCGGAACTGCCTCGTCGCCATCTCCCCACTCTTCTCGTCCACAGTGTTAGTCCCGTCTCCCATCAGAACCACCTCCTCTCCCTCTCTCCGCCCTCCCAGGTATCCGCCCTCCCTCATGGCCGCGACTGCGGCCATTTCCATGATCATTTCCGTGAACCTGGGTGACTGCTGCGCCACAAGTCCCAGTTCCAGGAACTTATCTATTCCCTGCATCATGTGCCAGTCACCGACACCGGACGAGAGGGGACCAGGCTTCTCTCCGCCCAACCCTACCCCTCTTCTCTCTGCTCCTCCCTCCGTTGCACTGCCATAATTACTCGATGCCACGGACGAAGGACTCGTTGTTAACGACCCAAGACTCCGAGGGCTCGCTCCGGCCGTGGATTTGATACCTCCACCTCCCCCTCCAACCACCCCCAGTCTCTCTCCTTCCTCCAGCGTTCCTTGTGCGGAAGATATGCTGCTAGAGCTTCGGCTGCTTGGCGTCGGCGTTCCTGCCAACGATGGCATGTCAACCCCACTTCCCTTAGGGCTAGTCAACGGCGGGACTACCGAAATTCCTCCGTCGAATCCCGGCCTCCTTATGCGGCTGCTCTCTTGGAGCTCCCCAAGCTTGATACTCATCTTCGCTCTGTCGCCGTGCTTCTCTAGTCTGTACCTCGCCTCCTCGATTGCTGCACGTGTCAGATCCCTGCTCAAACCCCGCTCGCTCCCGGTAGCCTTCCGCTCACCTCCTTCTCCTCTGCTACCGCTTCTACCGTGATCACCCGCGACAAGTTCCACCGTCCCGTCCTGATGTCTCTGCACAAGGCCGTACTTCGCCGCCAATCTTCCGACCGAGTTTTCCTGACCGCCCGAGGCAGCCTGGGTACTGCCGCCCCTGTCCCCTCCGGTTCGGCCGATTGCAGAGGCGGAATCCAAAGGGAAATTACCAACCATGCTTGCCGTGACAACACTCACATCCTCCCCAGCCATCATCTTTTCCCGAGAAAAGAACTCTTCTTGACCCTACCGGAAAAGCCTGACTGAAAAACACACCTCCCTCCCCCTTTGCTCACCTTGGCCTTCACCCGCCGCCTCCCTCCACTCTTTGCCCGCTCTTCCCCTTCTACCAAAAGCGCACAGAGAGACCAGTGGATTCTACGTCCGTGCAGCAGCCCCTGACCTTCTTCTTTGTCGTCCTTTCACCCTGGCAACGTGTTCGCCTCTTTCCCTACTTTTGCTAGAACTCCAATAGAACACCAGTCCTACCCAAAGCGCACAAAGACACCAGCGGACTCTACTCGCAGCGCACCCTCGGTCTTCCTCCTCTCATCTCCTTGCCCCTTCCCGCTTTAACCCTCGTGATGTGAACAAGACCAAACCTCCTTCAGCCGACTCCTGGCTGCGCCTGCACGCAACTTCACTCCCTTCTTTACCCTTTTCACCGCGTTAATTAACCCTTTGCACCCGTTTCCACCGCGGCGGCTCCAGAACGAATCCTGCCTCTCTCTTTCCCTTGTGCAGCTTTCGTCCGACGTAAAGAGAGTGAAATACGCACCAGAGCCACCACGAAGCAGAACACGCGTAATGGACTTTTCGCTGTACTTTTCGCTGTATGAAGAAGATGCTGCCGACTGCACAGTGCCACGCGTCCAGGATGCGAGAACTACCTACTCCTTCCTCCACGAAGACAATTCCTCTCCTCCTCTACACTCGGTTCCGCTCAGCGGAAAGAACTGTACGAACAATATCGGTCAAAGTCGGCGAGCAAAGCCAGCAGCAACGACACCTGGTCCCAAAAGTCGACGTCGCAACGCAGACACGTATCTTCCTCGCAATCACCACGCCAAATCGCACGACCTGCGTGTGCCCGGGCGCCGACAGCACTTCTGTCGAAGCGAGAGCCCGCGCCTCGATGCATTGCTCGCGTGGCGCGCAGCAGGACCAAACCTCGACCTTTGGAGACGGCGATGAAGATCGCAAAATCGCCGCGTGTCGTTTAGCCGCATCTTCAAAAGCTGGCTCACCTCAAAACTTTCTTCTACAGTCCTCTCTCTCTCTCTCTCTCTCTCTCTCTCTCTCTCTCTCTCTCTGTGTGTCTGTCTGTGTGTGTGG